CACACCGCGGCTTGGTGATTATCGAGGGGGAGATTGTTGGAAAGATTTTTCAATTAGGCCTACTGTGAGGAACTATTAGGCTGTCATTCGCAATGGATGTAAAAAACAGACTTAGTTGATTTACTGTGTGAGGTGAAGTGGTGGACATGGTGAGTTAAGACAATCAGAAATCAAACGTTCCTGAGTTTGCGCGCAACAGACCAGGTTGGCTACTTCTGTGTGCTCAGGCGCGCACGCTCCCTCAACATTAACAAGACAGAGAAACCAGACCCATGCTCATTGCTCACATGGAGCGCTCTAAACAAAAGACAATGAAAAAATGTATGACTCATAAATGATGGTTGTGAGAAACAAGGTTTAGTTTATTTCATAAGTGTAGCAGGTTGTGAACTCTGCAAACAATGTTTCCACTCCGAGAATGAGAACAGTAAATGACTTTAGGCCTAATTAGTAATACAATACACTAACAGAAATTCATGTAAACATATTACGGGGTTTAATGGTACATTTACTACTGGTGACATATGTAATGGGGAATTGATACAAATAAACAATCAAAAGGCAAACAGTTCACACAATAAAAACCCAAAATTAGCGGGAGACAGCTGAGTGCTTTCTGGAGAGCTGAGTGCATGCCATCTGGAGAGAGACGCGCATATAGTCTCACTTCGCCACACACCCCTCCCCTTCTTAACATTTTAAATTATAGTCAAGAAACATTATCTTCACACATATTTTAGATGCTTTTCACTGACAGCCGGCTACAACAGAGCCTGGATTCGAACCAGGATCTCTAATGGCACAGCTAGCACTGCGATGCAGTGCCTTAGACCACTGCTCCACTCGACTGCTGTTGAATAATTAATGAATATTCAGACATATCCAACCTTTTTTAAAAAGTAAAAATAAAGTTAGTAAATTTAAACGGTTTGAGGGTTATTCTATTTTCATTGCGGTCTTCATGCATAATCGTCAGTTACATGGTTATTCAATTACCATCACAGCCCTAGGTTAAATATGTTGTAGTAAAGTTCCGCTACAGTCCACAGGGGGGCACTGTCACTGTTAGATGTGTGCTTCAATCAGAAAAACGTTCTCTCATTACTTGTGTCATCTAGCTAGCCAGCCAGTAGCTTCCGAAGTGGCTAGCCAGCCAAGCTAGCTACATAAACGAAACCTATCAAAGACACTTGCTGAAAATAAACACTTTTCCTAATATTATGACTTAAATAAACATCATTAATTTGCCCATTCACTAAATATACTGTTAAATAACTATTGACACCCAATAGCTTAAGGATGCTGAGTGCTAACGCTAGCTTATTAGCATTAGCCAACCCATGCTGAGGGAAACTAAGTTAGCTAGTTAGCTACCACCAACCCTGCACAAACCTATTGATAACTCTGCTGCTGCTGCTGCACTTTGACTATCTGGCTGTTCTGCCCTTTCCACCTCATTCACTGCTGCCTCAACATGCTCGCTTTTTTTGCCATTCTTTCAGAAGAAGTGGCAAATATCCATATTTGCACTGTGCTATGCTGAGTCTGACTGAGGGACAGGCATTTTGCTGAGTGATGACATTGATATCTAACTGGTGCTGTAGGGGTGGGGAAGGGGTCAAGGGACTCAAGTAGGGGTGGGGAAGGGGTCAAGGGACTCAAGCGGTCCACTGCCTTGTGAAATCTCGACCAATCACAGCAGGCACAGCATCACTCCATGGGCTTATTGTAGTGTTTATTTTTGTCATAAAAATTTGTCAGTAAAACACGTTTTTAAATACTTTATAATGCAAGTGATGTGTGGTTATGGAAATGTATATCAGACTGAAATGTAAATCAAAAACTGGATCAAAAACAAAGGCCTAATGAGGTCATGGCTGTGTGTAAATTTATGCACACTCTCAAGCAAACCTTCATATTGATCAATCTCACACTTTGCTTGGAAATGATCCCATGCGTACTGATTTGTACCTAAGCATGATTGATAAATTAGGCCCCTGGAGCTTTGAAGCTTGAGGCTAAACTTCTCCTGTAGCTACAAGTTGTAGCAGCTTGAAGCGCACCCCTGAACATGTGTGTGAGAGCAAAGTCTTACATCGTGCTCATCTCAATGGCCACGTTAGAGTGGATCACTTTTGTCAAGTCAGTGACCATCGTTGGTCAGTCTTTCAAAATGTGTTGCATTCTGGGGGAGAAAATTGTCCGACTTGCGCCCACATGTGAATTGCAAGTTTCTGCAGTTGCGCTTAAACTTCACCCTGCAGCCATCGCCTGCATTGTGGGAGGCTCTATTGTCAACCAATCGTTAGGGTGTTTTTGTTTGACCCACACGAACGTGACCAAAGACATGACTGAAACCAATTTGCTGCAATTTATGTATACAGTGGATAGATACAAATAAATAATATTTGAGGCTATCTCACTAATTGATTGTACAATATACACAATTTTTTATTTCAGTTTGTGAGTGTGTGATTATGGGGGTTAGATACATGTTAATTTCGACATTATAAAGAAAACATTTTATTAACAATGGCAACACTGCCATGTTGATCTGAGCTTTGCTGTTGGAAAACCATATTAGTGTCCGATTTTCGGCTATTGCAGATGCACTTCCCTCGATTGAACTCCTCGGCTTTCTGTCCGACTTTCGGCTATTGCAGATGCACCTCCCTCGATTTAACTCCTCGGCTTTCTGTCTACCGTCGGTGGCTTTAGATTTACCACTTAAACGTGCCTAATATCTACGGTCCTGCTTGTGACAAGTCAATCTCAGTGTGACCCGCCAGATTCAGAAGCTTGAATATCGTCTTTGAAAAAAAGCTCGAACGACCAATTCCATTTTTGCCCCCCAAAACCGAAGATAATTCGTGATGGTTTTTATTTCATTTTAGTTCGTTTTGGAGTGAAAGATAATAGTTTCAGTATAGTTGTAGGTTTTCATACAGGTTCCTTAATTTTATTTCAGTTTACTAAATTGTTTATTCATGATTAGTTTTCGTTTGTTTCAGTTTTAGTTTACTATAATAACCTTGAGCCGTTGGATAGATGTATACGAGACAGACTTTACAGTTTGAGAGCCTGAGTTTGTGTTTTATTGAAGGAAAGATTGTAAGGACCAGTTGCTGGGCGCCCAGGCCGAGATGCACTACCAGCTGGGCCTCACCCCCTGCTCTGACTGCCAGTACAGCCAGGCCATCAAACACTTCAACAACTCTGCAGGGTCATCAAGAGCAGACTAGGTGAGGTGGATGTGAATGTGAATGTGATTGGTGATTCTAATTTTGAATGAAAATGAATTGTTTAGATGGTTTTACTATTGTAAATTGTAGTTTTCTACTTTGTAACAAACACTCTTTCATGGTTTGTCTCCCAGCCAATCTCCAGGGGGTGTTAGAGGCAGAGGGGCCAATGAAGCCCTGAAGAGAGGAAGGAGATGGTGGAGTTGAAGGCTCTGCTGCCAGAGATCCAGGAGAAGGTGGAGGACACCACCTTGGGCCAGAAGATGGCTGCCTCTGCTGCAGCAGTGGCTGTGAAGCAGGAGACACTGGTGAGCAGGGGATTAGGATGGAGGGGGATCTAACCAAATTGAGTAACATTACGGCAAGCATTAAGTTTGATTCCACATTTCATTGGTTGATTTTCAGGCAGGTGGTTCAGTGTTTCCAGCTCCGAGTGGAAGATCTCAAAACGGTGGGATGTTTGCATCTATGATAAGCCTAAAACTCTTGATTTTAGGCAGGTTTATTGGCTAGTTTGTGTTTTAAAACAACATATTCTAATGGGTATGTCTGTGTGTTCTACCCCTCACTCAGATTCAAGTTAGGTCCACCAACAGAAATGGCCCCTCAGTCTCCAGCCTCTGACATCTCACACCTGGTCAGAAAAAAAGGCCAGTGACGTGAACCTATCTGCTCCCAGATAACACCTCTAGTCCTCCCCCTAGTATCTACACACACACCTATTTGTACCGTTTAACAGAGGAAACCAGAAGACAGCCCAGTAAAGGAGAGTGACTTTAAAAGGGTGAAACAGGAGACTCATGTTAACAGCAGCAGAGACCACATCAACAAAGCCAACGATGTCAAAAAACAAAATGGAGGTTGAAAGGTATGTATTGAGTGTATTTTCCACTGCACAGGTAGTGACAGTAAATATCATGGAATACCTACATGTACTACTACTAGACCAATTTTAAATGCACTAAATAGATCACCATCACATTCAGTAGCATGTGTGCCTCTTTGTGATTGCAATGACAAAGTCATTGTCAGTGAATTCAGTGTTATGATTATTTTTTATTTCCCCCCCTGCAGCCAGTGAAGCCCCGGCGACTGCCTGATGTCATCACATCCTTCTAATGCAGATGAAGTTGTAAATACATTTATGTCATGTTCCTATGGTGTACCTGGTTGTGCTGCTTTTCATATTTGTAATATTTAGTACCAGATCATTAATAAAGAGTACCTAATTGATCAATTAATCATCTTTGTTTGAATTGTAAAGAAACTTAAAATGGGAATTGGGTAGGAAGTTATCTACCTCTTGAAACAGTTTAAACAAATGCCCCAGTTCCTCCTCTCAGTGATCAATGTAATAACATTGAATTTATGTATGCCTATGAATTAGATGCGCCTTCGCTTGGCACTCAGCATTAAGGAGATACATTGTGGGTAAGGCTCAGCGATAGGACCTGCGTCCTGTCCAAGGGGGTGTACTTGTACATCAAGCTGCCTCACGCTACAGAAACAGGAGAAAGGCTCCTGCTCATATGAGCCGTTCCGGCTCGCACAAGCCAAGGCTACTTCTTTCTATGGAATAGATATCCTTGCTCAGTGGCCAGCCCTGTTGAATTCACTCATTATCAGATGACTGGGTTGGTGAGAAACACTTTGCTGAGAGGGAACAGAGGTGGAAGATGTAGGAAAATTCAGCGTTACAGCGTGATTTGACATTTAAAGGCAATGTTCCCTCGTTAGCAGACTGCATTCACAGTAAACGTTGAATGACAGCTCAATCAGAAATTACCTTTACATTTCTAGTGCGCAATCTGTAACGCTTCTGCGATAGTGAATAGAGTCGTTAATCTGTCTTAGTGGTAATCGCAGTCTGCATGGTTTGTTCCATTTTTCATATTTGATTTATGGGACAGGAGAGAAACTGGGAAAGATAGGAGTGTCACAGGCATTGGGTCAGATTTGACCCCTGGTAGGTTTGTGTACTGTAAGCAGCGAGACCACCCAGCATGGTTAACACTGTATTGAAGAAAGGGTTGGTATATCTATGGTGACTGAAACCATGTGATGCGATTGACCATTAACACAATCCAACAACTTGTTCATTGAAACAACAATCAGAACACATAACATCAAGCAAGGCCGGATCCGTATTGAAACATCTCACCATGTCAGGAACCAATTTTATTAATATCTTTAATGTCGTCAGCATCACTGAGATGAGTTAGTCTGTTTAAAGCAGAATCGGATGTGCATTGCCCTTTTCTTGACAAACACTCAGTTCCACAAAGCGAGGAAGAAGGGAAGTGGGGAGGAGGTGCAGTGAAGGAGGCAACGCAGGGAAAAAGACATCTGCATGGCGAAGCAGAAACTTTCCCCTCCACTAGGATGTGATTGGTTTTAGCTTGTGCAAGATCAAGTCGAAACAGGTGTTCTGAAAACAAAGACGAGAGGGGGGTGTGTGTGTTGGGTTTGTTTCGTAAAGCCACTTCGTCAGGTTTTGATGCAGTCGCCAACGTCATCATCGTCTGAGGTCTGGCTGCTGCTGCTGGTTTCAGACTCTGAGCCCTCGTCCTCTTCTAGGTGGGCCTCGGCCACACACCTCCAGGTGGTGAAGTGGAGGGTGACACCTCGTGCACCCCGGGGGAGGACCCCGTTCCTCTTCATCTGAGAAGACCAAGAACCACCCGAGTCAAAACAAGAACCTAGACACTAGCCTGGTCCCATCCTATGTGCTTTAGACAACTCTTCCATACAGCATGGGAGTGTTGGCTACAACACATACACAGGAGCCTTTTTTACACCTTGCGCTAACATGTGGTTTTCACTATCTGATCAAGTTCTGTCACGTTTACACATGGTATTAAAATGTGTCTTATTGGTCCACTGTGTCCGCATTGTGACCAGATTTCCTGGTCACTCCATGTATAAAAAGTATTTGAGAGATTGTTTCAAAGTAATAATTTATATATCATGCTTAGACAATTATTGATGCCTTGAGTTTATCTTGTTAATCATTTTACTGGGCACTATAATGATGAATCAAATGGTTTCACCATCCAGATCTTTTTACACTTGTAAGATATCCAGATATTTTGCGTGCCTGACTACCTCCGGAGGGTAGTCAGAAAGATCTGATTACAATCAGTTCACGATGTCTTTTGATTGGCTACTCTACACCCATCTAAAAATGTTGGCACAATCAGAATGTGGACAAAATCAGGACAAAGGATGCATGTTAGCACCAGGTATAAACGGAGCTTGGGTTACCTAAACACCCTGTTTTCATTCTATTCAACCACATGCCACTTCCTATGAAGTTTATAACAGTCTGTTATTGAAGATGCACATAACATATTGAAGATATTGTAAGTGTGTCAAACTCGTACCTGTTCAGTTTTAGTCTGGAACTCTCTGAGCTCATCCTCTGTCAGGGGCAGGAAGCTGTCATCATTTTCTGGGTATTCCTGCCAGCCCATGGCCTTCAGTAACCTGCAAGGAAACAGCAAACACTGCTTAGTAGACTAATGGTGTGTGTGTGTGTGTGTGTGTGTGTGTGTGTGTGTGTCAGTCCTACCTGTGTTCTGCCTCCAGGGAGCTGGACAGGTGATCAGTGTCTGAATTGCTGAGAGAGTGGGAGTGAGACAGGCCATTCTCATGGCAGAATCCCTGGCTGTAGGCTTTGGGCTCTGGGGTGCTGCTCTCGCCCTGAGGAGTCATTCACACCAAAGAAAAGACACCTTAATAAAACAGGACACTTCTGCTTACAAATGAACTGAACCATGTAACGTTCCGAGCCTCTAATTCATTTTCCTCAGTCAGCCCGTGAATTTACTTTCAATTGGTTTAAATTTAAGATTTTGGATGTTTTGGACATTTTCTAGGGGTGTTATGTACCTGTACAGGAGTCCCAGAGCTGCTGCTGCTGGAGGTCAGGTTTCCGGTGCACTCGTCCTTCAGCGTCCGCAGGATGTCACTCTTCCGGTCTGGTCCGCGCCGCATCAGCTTCAGCCGCGACGATGGGCCAATGTCTATGGGAGGAGTCGTACTGGAGGGATGCTGCTAGAAAACACAGAGGTAGAGAGAGAGAGAGAAGAGAATGCTCGAAATTGAGCTCAGGTGCATCCTGTTTCCATTGCTCATCCCTTAAGATGATTCTACAACTTGAATGGAGTCCACCTGTGGTAAATTCAATTGATTGGAAATTATTTGGAAAGGCACACACTTGTCTATATAAGGACCCACAGTTGACAGTGCATGTCAGAGCAAAAACCAAGCCATGAGGTCGAAGGAATTGTCCATGAAGTTCCGACACAGGATTGTGTTGAGGCACAGATCTGGGGAAGGGTGCCAAAACATTTCTGCAGCATTGAAGGTTCCCAAGAACACAGTAGCTTCCATTCTTAAATGGAAGAAGTTTGGAACCACCAAGACTCTTCCTAGAGCTGGCCGCCCGGCCAAACGGAGCAATCGGGGGAGAAGGGCCTTGGTCAGGGAGGTGACCAAGAACCCGATGATAACTCTGACAGAGCTCTATAGTTCCTCTGTGGAGATGGGAGAACCTTCCAGAAGGACAACCATCTCTGCAGCACTCCATCAATAAGGCCTTTATGGTAGAGATTCCGTGTGGCTCAGTTGGTAGAGCATGGCGCTTGCAATGCCAGGGTTGTGGGTTTGATTCCCACGGGGGACCGGTACGAAAAAAGTATGAAAATGTATGAACTCACTACTGTAAGTCACTCTGGATAAGAGTGTCTGCTAAATGACAAAAATTTAAATGTAAATGTAGAGTGGCCAGACGGAAGCCACTCCTCAGTAAAAGGCACATTACAGCCCGCTTGGAGTTTGCCAAAAAGCACCTAAAGGACTCTCAGACCAAGTGAAACAAGATTCTCTGGTCTGATGAAACCAAGATTGAACTCTTTGGCCTGAATGCCAAGCGTCACATCGGGAGGAAACCTGGTACCATCCCTACGGTGAAGCATGGTGGTGGCAGCATCAAGGTGTGGGGATGGTTTTCAGCAGCAGGGACTGGGAGACTAGTCAGGATCGAGGGAAAGATGAACGGCGCAAAGTACAGAGAGATCCTTGATGAAAACCTGCTCCAGAGCGCTCAGGACCTCAGACTGGGGCGAAGGTTCACCTTCCAACAGGACAACGACCCTAAGCACACAGCCAAGACAAGTCTCAATGTCCTTGAGTGGACATTTTTAATACATTTGCTAAACATTCTAAAAACCTGTTTTTGCTTTGTCATTATGGGGTATTGTGTGTAGATTGATGAGGGGAAAAAACAATTTAATCAATTTTAGAATAAGGCTGTAACGTAACAAAATGTGGAAAAGTGAAATTTTCTGAATACTTTCCGAATGCACTCTGTGAACCCTTTGACGTGTGTTAGGTGTCAGCAGCGCTGCCCTCACCTCTTTGGGGGTGTTGTGGCTTTGTAGCTGGGTGGCGGTGGCAGAGGCATAGGGTTTGGCTGCAGACACAGGACTGGTGAAGACAGAGTCTCGTCCTGACAGGTGGAGGCCAGGCTTGGTGGAGTCTCTCCCACTCGGCTTCCACTGGTGGGGCTTGGTGGTCACCAGGGCAGGCTTGGGCACCAGGTTCTTGTAGACAGAGTGGGTGGAGCTGGCAATGGTGGGCAGGGCTTTGCTGCTGTTGATGGGCGGGGTTCCGGAGCTGGCGAAGCTGGCAGAGAACGCAGTGCATCCTGTGTCCTCCTTGGACACTTTCTTGATCACCAGCATCTTAGACACCATCTGCTTGCCACTAGGAGGGTTCTCTGGAGATAAGGGACCCAACAACTTGTTAGAGGAGGGTAACGACATGGAGACAAGGGAGTGGTCTGAACTTTGTGAAGATGTTACTGATGTCAACTTTCTAATGGCGAAATCAATAAATTAGTGATTACCCCATACTCCAGCGTGAGGAGCCACTGGCCTCATCTGGTTCCCAGACTTTCCAGTTGTTTCAGGGTTAAGGAAGGGCTGGTAGAAAAAACATTTACATTATTTGTTATTATTCATTATATTAAAGTTTGTATATACTGTATATTTGCCATTATGTTTTATGTTTACCTGTACCAATCCAGACATTTTAATGCCACTATGCCCATTGACCCTTTTTTAAACTAATTATCTTGTACCGACTTCTATGCACACACACTGGACTCTACCCACACACTCACACATACACACACATGCATACTGACACCACACACACACTTTCACACTAACCAAATATACAGTGCCTTCAGAAAATATTCATACCTCTTGACTTATTCCACATTCTTTTGTTTTACAGCCTGAATTCATTCAATTTTTTTGTCACCCATCTACATACACACAATACCCCATAATGACAAAGTGAAAACAAGTTGGTAGAAATTTTAGCACATTTATTGAAAATGAAATACAGAAATATCTCATTTACTTAAGTATTCACACCCGAGTCAATACATGTTAGAATTACCTTTGGCAGCGATTACAGCTGTGAGTCTTTCTGGGTAAGTCTCTAAGAGCTTTGCACACCTGGATTGTACAATATTTGCACATTATTCTTTTAAAAATTATTCAAGCTCTGTCAAGTTGGTTGTTGATCATTGCTAGACAGCCATTTTCAAGTCTTGCCATAGATTTTCAAGCCGATTTAAGTCAAAACTGTAACTAGTCCACTCAAGAACATTCAATGTCGTCTTGCTAAGCAAGACCTTGTGCCTTGTGTTTTAGGTTATTGTCCTGCTGAAAGGTGAATTTGACTCCCAGTGTCTGTTGGAAAGCAGACAACCAGGTTTTCCTCTAGGATTTTGCCTGTGCTTAGCTCTATTCCGTTTCTTTTTATCCTAAAGAACTCCCTTGTCCTTGCCGATGACAAGCATACCCATAACATGATGCAGCCAGCACCATGCTTGAAAATATGAAGTGGTATTAAGTGATCTGTTGGATTTGTCCCAAACATAAACACTTTATATTCAGGACATGAAGTTAATTTCTTTGCCACATTTTTACTTTAGTACCTTATTGCAAACAGGATGGATGTTTTGGAATATTTTTATTCTGTACAAGCGTCCTTCTTTTCACTGTCATTTAGGTTAGTATTGTGGAGTAACTACAATGTTGTTGATCCATCCACAGTTTTCTCCTATCACAGCCATTAAACTCTCTAACTGTTTTAAAGTAACCATTGGCCTTTTCTGAGTAAGAAAGGACGCCTGTATCTTTGTAGTGACTAGGTGTATTGATACATCATCCAAAGTGTAATTGCTCAAAGGGTTATTCAATGTCTGCTTTTTTTTCTGCTTTTTTTACCCATTTACCAATAGGTGCCCTTCTTTGCGAAACATTGGAAAACCTCCCTGGTCTTTGTGGTTGAGTCTGTTTGAAATTCACTGCTCGACTGAGGGACCTTAAAGATAATTGTATGTGTGGGGTACAGAGATGAGGTAGTCATTCAAAAATCATGTTAAACACCATAATTGTACACAGAGTGAGTCCAGGCAACTTATTATGTGACTTGTTAAGCACATATTTACTCCTGAACTTATTTAGGCTTGTCATAACAAATGGGTTGAATACTTACTGACTCAAGACATTTCAGCCTTTCATTTTTAATTAATTTGTAAAAACATAATTGCACTTTGACATTATGGGGTATTGTGTGTAAGCCAGTGACACAAAATCTCAATTGAATCTATTTTAAATTCAGGCTGTAACAACAAAATGTGGAAAAAGTTAAGGGGTGTGAATACTTTCTGAAGGCACTGGATGCTGCTGCTACGGTGCATTCGGAAAGTATTCAGACCCCTTGACTTTTTCCACATTTTGTTACGTTACATCCTTATTCAATTAGATTAAATCAATTTTTTCCCTCATCAATCTACACACAATACCCCATAATGACTAAGCGAAAACAGGTTTTTAGAAATGTTTGCAAATTAATTAAAGATAAAAAATGTGGAAAAAGTCAATGGGTCTGAATACTTTCCGAATGCACTGTACTGCTCCACATACGCTTCTGCTACATCTCAGTCTATGATCTATCCTGTTGCCTAGTCACTTTACCCCTACCTATATGTACATAGCTACCGCAATTACCTCGTACCTCTGCACATCTACTCGGTACTGGTACTCCCTCTATATAGCTATGTTATTTTTACTCGTTACTTGTTATTCACTGTGTATTTATTCCTCGTGGTGTCAGTCTTTCTATTTTTATTTGATCTTTAACTCTGCATTGTTGGAAAAGGACCCGTAAGTGAGCATATCACTGTTAGCCTACACCTGTTGTTTACGAAGCGTGTGACAAATAACATTTGATTAGACTGATGTGACATACGGCACACACAATAACTCAAGCCCTTAAAGGGGTAACATGTGAAATGCAGCCCCTTCTTGGAAACTAGGTGAATTGCAACAACACTTAGCCTGAATTCAAACAACTCTTTCCACTCCTGGCTTTATTCCCAATTCCCTTCCCTGCCCCCTCCTTAAGTTTCACTTGCGCGTCTTTTTACTTTCGGTTTTGCACACCAGCTTCAAACAGCTGAAAATACGATATTTTTGGTTATTGAAAATATTTTTCACAGAGATTTAGATACAAAGAAAAAGACATATCTCAGACTGGCCAATAAAAATAAAAGATTAAGATGGGCAGTCTGAGATATGGCTTTTTCTTTGCAACTCTGCCTAGAAGGTCAGCATCCCAGTCGCCTCTTCACTGTTGACGTTGCGACTGGTGTTTTGCAGGTACTATTTAATGAAGCTGCCAGTTGAGGACCTGTTAGGCGCCTGTTTCCCAAACTAGACACTCCAATGTATTTGTCCTCTTGCTCAGTTGTGCACCGGGGCCTCCCATTCCTCTTTCTATTCTGGTTAGAGCCTGTTTGCGCTGTTCTGTGAAGGGAGTAGTACACAGCGTTGTACGAGATCTTCAGTTTCTTGGTAATTTCTCGCATGGAATAGCCTTCATTTCTCAGAACAAGAATAGACTGACGAGTTTCAGAAGAAAGTTATTTGTTTCTGGCCATTTTGATCCTGTAATCGAACCCACAATTGCTGAGGCTCCAGATACTCAACTAGTCTCAAGAAGGCCAGTTTTATTGCTTCTTTAATCAGCACAACAGTTTTCAGCTGTGCTAACATAATTGCAAAATGGTTTTCTAATGATCAATTAGCCTTTTAAAATGATAAAATTGGATTAGCAAACACAACGTGCTATTGGAACACAGGACTGATGGTTGCTGATAATGGGCCTATGTAGATATTCCATTAAAAATCAGCCGTTTCAAGCTACAATAGCCATTTACAACATTAACAATGTCTACACTGTATTTCTGATCAATTTGATGTTATTTTAAAGGACAAAAAAATTGCTTTTCTTTCGAAAACAAGGAAATTTCTAAGTGACCTCAAACTTTTGAACAGTAGTGTATATATACAGTGGGGGAAAAAAGTATTTAGTCAGCCACCAATTGTGCAAGTTCTCCCACTTAAAAAGATGAGAGAGGCCTGTAATTTTCATCATAGGTACACGTCAACTATGACAGACAAAATGAGGAAAAAAAACCCAGAAAATCACATTGTAGGATTTTTAATGAATTTATTTGCAGATTATGGTGGAAAATAAGTATTTGGTCAATAACAAAAGTTTCTCAATACTTTGTTATATACCCTTTGTTGGCAATGACACAGGTCAAACGTTTTCTGTAAGTCTTCACAAGGTTTTCACACACTGTTGCTTTGGGGCTGTCGCTGGGCAACACAGACTTTCAACTCCCTCCAAAGATTTTCTATGGGGTTGAGATCTAGAGACTGGCTAGGCCACTCCAGGACCTTGAAATGCTTCTTACGAAGCCACTCCTTCGTTGCCCGGGCGGTGTGTTTGGGATCATTGTCATGCTGAAAGACCCAGCCACGTTTCATCTTCAATGCCCTTGCTGATGGAAGGAGGTTTTCACTCAAAATCTCACGATACATGGCCCCATTCATTCTTTCCTTTACACGGATCAGTCGTCCTGGTCCCTTTGCAGAAAAACAGCCCCAAACCATGATGTTTCCACCCCCATGCTTCACAGTAGGTATGGTGTTCTTTGGATGCAACTCAGCATTCTTTGTCCTCCAAACACGACGAGTTGAGTTTTTACCAAAAAGTTCTATTTTGGTTTCATCTGACCATATGACATTCTCCCAATCCTCTTCTGGATCATCCAAATCCACTCTAGCAAACTTCAGACGGGCCTGGACATGTACTGGCTTAAGCAGGGGGACACGTCTGGCACTGCAGGATTTGAGTCCCTGGCGGCGTAGTGTGTTACTGATGGTAGGCTTTGTTACTTTGGTCCCAGCTCTCTGCAGGTCATTCACTAGGTCCCCCCGTGTGGTTCTGGGATTTTTGCTCACCGTTCTTGTGATCATTTTGACCCCACGGGGTGAGATCTTGCGTGGAGCCCCAGATCGAGGGAGATTATCAGTGGTCTTGTATGTCTTCCATTTCCTAATAATTGCTCCCACAGTTGATTTCTTCAAACCAAGCTGCTTACCTATTGCAGATTCAGTCTTCCCAGCCTGGTGCAGGTCTACAATTTTGTTTCTGGTGTCCTTTGACAGCTCTTTGGTCTTGGCCATAGTGGAGTTTAGAGTGTGACTGTTTGAGGTTGTGGACAGGTGTCTTTTATACTGATAACAACTTCAAACAGGTGCCATTAATACAGGTAACGAGTGGAGGACAGAGGAGCCTCTTAAAGAAGTTACAGGTCTGTGAGAGCCAGAAATCTTGCTTGTTTGTAGGTGACCAAATACATATTTTCCACCATAATTTGCAAATAAATTCATTAAAAATCCTACAATGTGATTTTCTTGATTTTCTTTTCTCAATTTGTCTGTCATAGTTGACTTGTACCTATGATGAAAATTACAGGCCTCTCTCATCTTTTTAAGTGGGAGAACTTGCACAATTGGTGGCTGACTAAATAATTTTTTCCCCCACTGTATATATATATATATTTATTTTCTCGGTTGAACACCCCTGCCCTACACTATACATTGCTTGCTTTGCACATAAATTGAAATGAAGCACAACATTTTTTATTTTAGCAACCACGTAATGTCAGAGCGGTTTCTACTGCCATTGTTGATTCTGCTCATGAGGAGATGACCACGCCTCTGAGTGACACTGATGGAAGAGAGGGAGGGTGCAGTTTTCCCATTTGACAACAGAAGACCGTCTTTTCTTGTCAAATAGGAAGGCTGCATTATCATAATATGATTTTATTGTGAAAATATTGTGAAACACTATCATTCAACTATTACTGCAGATATATTATGGACTTTTTCTGAAATTACAATGCAAAAATTCTACATGTAGCTCTTTAAATGTCTTTGCTAACTTTGCTTAAAATGCGTAAAGAAGCTGTCCAGAGGGGTTCGAGAATGAGATTATTACTCACAAAGTCCTCTTCCACAAACTTCAGCTTGTCATCCCTGCTGCGTTCCTCGTTGGGGAACTTGTCCTGGTAGGGGGTCCCGGGGGTGCCCTTGCGGGGATGGAAGTTGCCGTTGCGCTGCCGGTGCCCCCCCTGCCTGTCCCTGTCTCCTCCTCCGGGCCCGGTGCGTTTGGGGTGGCGCCCCGGGTGGTGGTGTCCGTCCTGCGCCCCCCGTGGTGCCCCGTGCCAGGTGGGAGGAGCCTCCTTCCAGCAGGGCACCCCCGCCAGGCCACCATGCCCCCCCTTTGCCACCCCAGAGTCCACAGAGTCATGCCTTAGGAGAGAAGGCTGCTGCCCCCCATCACCTACAGACACAGACAGGAACATAGACAGTTTAATACCATGGAACACAAAACAAACACTGCTCTTTCAAGCGAGCTGTCAACATACTTTTTGGGGGTGTGCAGGGGGTTAGGATCATCGGGGTTACCTGCGGGGGCGTGTAGGGGCCCGTTGTTGAAGAAGCCATCGGAGGAGTTGTGTCGGCGGCGGCTCACAGCAGCACGGCTGTCCCGGTGGTGATGGGGGTTGCCATGCTTCTCGAGGCTGGCTGCAGGGGACTGGACACAAAAAAAGTAAGTGAAGTGAAATCATCTGCTCCCAGATAATACCCCTAGTCCTCTAGTATCTCCACACACACACACACTTTCAGGAGTGGGAAACAGGAATCCTTCTCCCACACCAAACTCTTCACATTTTATCTGATTTCATTAGCAGAAGAATATCACACAGAAACATAATACACATATCTATGTAATATACAGTAATGTAGACATTATGCAGCTTAGGTTTGGTGTTTATGTAATAACTTTGTGTAGTCCATTAGTCACCAATATCAGATTGATCTTACTGGACTGCCACTGACCAAGGTTGAGGTCTGTCCACACCACAGACAAGTAATTTGTCTGGTACACCCTGAAAGTCACCTGGTATAGGCTACACCCTGACTACTCCAAGCTCTTGCTGAGAGTATAGAAACACTGATCTCATTTGCTACAGAGCTGAATCTCAACCCTGTGTCTAGTAGTTCCAAGAGCAAGATCACACCACAACAAGCTCTCCTGCCCATTTATCTTTCCCTTTCTACTGATTTCACTTACCACACTAAGAAAACACATTTCTATCAGAGCCTGGAAGATAGCCACTCGTTGAGGAACAAATATCTCTGGTACACAGTATTCACTCATTCAATTCCACTTACTTGCGTTTCTCCTGTCTGTTTCCCCTGAGTACACACAGTATCTTTCCTGAACCCTGTGCTGATGGCAGTCAGTCTGCCCCCGATCGGCCTGCCCCTGGCTGCACGCCCGCACGTACACACACACAGGAGCTCACCTTGGCAGGCTGGGGCGTGGCGAAGTTTAGCCAGGCAGGGACAAAGTCATGCTGCGCCATTTAGGTCCAGTGTCTCAGGTCAGTGGATCGAGGCATCAAACCTCATGGCAAAGATCTGCCAGAGAAAAATGAATGAAAAATCTTGGACTTTGGGACAAAAGAAACAACACATTGTTACATAAGACTTATCATTATTACCCCAGAGTCTTTGGCTCTGAAGTCCTCTCCTCCTCCTCTCGGTCTCTCCCTCCTCTGTGGGCTTGTTCCCTCTGGCCCGCTCAGACACACCACTGGTCTTAGACTCAGAGTGTGTGATGGAGAGCAGCACCCCACTGCCGAGCCCTCCTCCTCCAGGACAGCCCCTTTCCCCAGACGCAGACCCTGTCGTCCAGGGTGAAGCGGTGGGAGACGGGTCACAGGGTTCTGAGATGATCTGGAATGGTGATCCAGAGGCCTGGGGTTGATTCAAGGCTACAGTTACCCAGGAGGTGATTTGATGGCTGTGGACTTCTCAAACGATTTTAACACGTGGTTTGAGCTGGGGAAGTTATGTGTGACAGTTTTTTGGGAGCCCCGTTACCCCACAATTCGTCCTGATCACTCTACTGAAGCAGGTAGGATTCTTTGTCAGGGAAACTGAAGGTTCTGATTGGCGGGCTCAGTAGATTGGAAGGTGAATTGTCCAATGGGAGAGGCAGGTGCAGGTTGTCTGGTGAGATTTGAAGCTCTGGGGCATCGATCCCTGTCAGTGTGAACAGGACAGTTCCACAATGACATCAGAAGAGGGGTGGAAGGAGGTTCTAGCTCTTCTCCTGCCACTATGAGTGCCAGCTCTTAGACCTAGACTCACCTTTTACCAAGTCATTTTAAGCTCTACCCAAACACATGTAGAAAAGAAATTGATTCAGAGAAAGTATTTTTATTCCAATGGTCACTGAAAACCACAGCTCACCTCATTAAACTGGTGAAAAGGCTGTCCAGTTTTGAAGGAAAAAAAGGTGTCTAGTATTAAAGTCACATGACAGTAAGGGAGTAGAATCGACAGTTACATTTCTGACATCTTCAATCGTGGTCAGTGAAGTTTTGATACTGCAGAACAATGCATTTTAATGCTGTTTTTCAATGCATGCTAAAGACAATGGTGTCTAAATGGCTGGTTAGATCTGTTGCTTTCTTCATCCGTCTTCTTATATTTGTATCTGTTAACTGCCGGTAGAATTATCCGTGGTTGTGTGGTTGCAGGAGGAGAGTGCAATAGTTCCGATTTCATAGATGAGTGAGCTTTTAGACGATATAACAGCAATCTCTTACAAGCAGTGTCCTGTGTGTCACAACACACCTGGGACTCCTTTGTCGAAATACAAAAATATGCTTTTCCATAAATGAGGGAACCTCTGAAATTCAAACACAAATATCTTCCTTCAAAGCAAAAAAAAACCGTAGGAACATATGGAGAATGTCACAGATATTTGTCAATGTAATAATTTTGTTGAAGATTCTGAGCTTTTCACAACACAAAGGACAGGTGCTGTGCAGTTAATCCAAGTATTTTCAGTCCTCCTGTAGTGTTGCTTTCACATGCACTTCTGCAGACCGAACCTGCAACTTCTGCAGACCAAACCTGCAAAAAGAGAACAGAAATAGCATTAGTTCAAAAACTGACAACAAATACTTTTGAAACTCAGGCACACCGGTAAGGTTGTAATGGCCATCAATTAAGCCTACAAGTTTCTGTAGTAAGTTTCCAGCTCAGTGTACTAGCCCTAGATCATGACTCTCAGTTCGGGGGGGGGGGGGGGGGGGGGGGGTTGTTAAGATCCCCGACGCTCGGTCTGAACATTAACATACATCGCTTGCGGTACGGTTTTGGAAGCATAAGGACCTTATCTTTCATATCAGCTAGAAATATAAAAAAAATGTAGTGTTCCCACACTGCCAATTCTCCCTGTTACAGCACTTTTTTATGGAAAACATGCGCCAAAATGCACCTAACACCTGTGGTTAAGCGTACCTCGGGAAGTGTAGCAGAAGTGTAGTTTCATTGGATGGAAGCACCCATAGCTGTATGGATCTGTGCAAACCTGCTACAGTAAGTGTATCTTTTTTATTGGAAGGATTCTTTCTTGCTGATGAAAGATAAGGGCCATATGTTTTGAAATTAGTATGCAAAGCGATGATTACTGACGTTTCTAAATGTTAAAACACTGTCGGGATTGTAGTTCAAGAGGCAGTCGTGGGTGACGCTAATGGCTGAGAACTGTTGGGAGTTTGATAGCTAAGTTGGTACTGCATGTCAAATTTGATTAAATGTGCTCCCAGAACATCTTTGGTAAACCCACAATTAGAAAGCAAGCATGTTGGAATGGTGCTAAAAAAAAAAACACACAATCAAAGCCATTTCATACTCAGATGTCTCCCTTACAAAACTGCAAGCTTTGATCAAATATTATACCAGTCTAAAAATACTCTAGACCTGAACACTCTCACTCAGCTCCTAATCTAAATAAGGCACAGTGAGTGACTATCTATGTGTGTGTTCTAAACTGCTAGCTAAGTACTGCGAACCACAGCATGTCATCATGAATGACCGAGGCTGCAGTGCTTCCTAAAGACAAATCAATAAACATCCTGTATAGCACTGTGATTTGTCTTCCATGGTGTATTGAGTGGACCAAGTTATTACTCTGATTGCAAAGTAAAATTGCATGAGAGCCATTGATGAAGCTATGCTGCCACTGTCAGCTGTGAAGGACACGTTCAGTGATGCACCAATTCAAACAGTGACTTTTGATTTGAAGCAATTTAGTTTCTTAACACGTGTCTACAAGATCTATCTAAATTTTTGACAACAAGTAGACAAATTATTTGATCAAATTCAGAAAGCAAAAACGTAGATCACTGCTAGCTAGTTCCCTTGTAAACTTTTTGTAACGTTCACCAAGTTGTTAGCGAGCTACAGTACAAGCTAGCAAGTCAACTAGCTAGCTAGCTAAATAAATAGCTAACGTTAGCTAGCTACAGTAGCTTGCACAACTACTACTCAGTCCCAAACTAATTTTAAAGACATAACATATAGTTATGCAACAGAGTAACTTCAAATTGTTCATAATATTGCTGTCACATTTCTGCAAATAGAGGTAAACAGACCTTAGTTGGAACAAGACGGTTTCAAAATGGCTACCTTTAGCCCACACGGGGATTCGCATGTTAAGCTAGCTTGCTATATTTGATATGATGATGCCAAAACCTACCTGCTATGTTAAGCAATATGTTGTTCAAGAAATATTATTACAAATATATATTTAGAATTAATATTCCATCGATGATTAGCATTTAAATCCTTTCTTCCTGGAATGTGCCTCAAGATGAAGAGGCGTTATGGTGTTTGTTTGGGTTTTTGGAGCGCGTTCGCGCAGCTTACTGGGGTATGTTCAAGTTCTTGAAAATAATGTTGCAACCTTTGGCGCGTTGTAGGGTGTGTATCAAACTGAACAGGAGTGGGAGGAAAAAATGTAGACTAAAAAAGTTGATGCAGCTTAGAACAAACTAGAGTTACATCAAAATGGTCAGTTTACACTAACTAGTACAAAAACAAAATACTAGCGACATATTTGTGATATTGAACACTACTCACTAGCTCCCAAGCGCACTATTAATCGATCCTCGTGGACATCGAACTTTCGCCAGACACTTTGAATCGAGAAAACGACCTTACACACCTCTGCTATGGCTAAATTTTTAGTGGACTGCACCGCGTGAAGATCAAGGGTAAAAACTGAGAATATATTTCTAAACGTTAAAAAAAAAAAACATTTGCAACGTTCTTGTTAGAACACATGTATTTTATTTTGGGTTGCTAACGCATTAGCTAATGCTGAAGAGGTCAAAGCTAACTAGCTAGCTAACCAACTTGATTTGGTAAAATATGGCATTACGAAATGCTTATTAACGCATGCCAATCACATGTGAAACTGGCTTTACATTCCTTATGTTCTAAAATGTACATGCACCTCTTCTCCTTTTAGGTTGAAAATGTTCTCATTTGCATTGAAGAGGCACTTGAATCCCTGTGTGGTAAGAGTAAACATTACATTAGTTCTGTGACGCCATAATATTGGTCAATCATTTGTCAAATTGAACTGGAACAAATAGCCAAGAGCATCTGGGTTCTCTGTATCAGGATAGAGGCACAGTGGCCCAGATCATGTAAAACCCTACTGAGAAATGCTTTTGCAACTGTTTTTATTGTCAGGGTCCATCCTGCCGATGGATGCAGCGGGTACTCTGTGGGTCCAGCTGCATGGTGAAGAGGGAATGTTTTTACACCAGTTCCAACCCCTTGTTGGCTCCACATGTTTCCATGGTGACATCACTACTGTTCCCGAGACTAGCTGCCTCCAGGCTTCTGAGCCTCAGGCCCCTGAGCTGCTCTGCCTCTTTGCTTTGCCAGGGTCACCCCGTGCCCACGGCCCCTGGGAGTGGACAGGAGGACCAACAGCGCCTCAGCATGAAAGCCCTGGCCAATGCGCCCAAGCCTGCTTTGTACCTCGGCTTCTCCGGCCTCCTTCCATTCCTGGGCGCCCCACTCCTGATGGCTGTGACCCAGTCCTACCTCCCAGAGGTGGCCTACGCCCAGGTGGTCTACGGTGCCTCAATCGTGTCCTTCCTGGGTGGGGCCCGCTGGGGCTTTGCCCTGCCTGAGGGGAGCCCTGCCCAGCCCGACTGGATGAACCTTGGCAACAGTGTGGTGCCCTCCCTGCTGGCCTGGCTGGCTCTGCTCTGCAGAGACAACATCACAGAGGGAGCCCTTGTGGTCATCATGGGGCTGGGCCTGGCCCTGCACTATGACCTCACCCTGCTGCCTGGTTACCCCAGCTGGTTCAAAGCCATGAGAACCATACTCACTCTGGTGGCTACCTTTTCCCTGGTGGCCACACTGACATTGCAGAAGATGTGCCCGGAGAAGAAGATCAAGGCACAAGAGAATTGACTAGGTCATTACTAAGGGATATTTAAAGTTAGCACTTAAAAGCTAAATTCTCTCAAACAGTTAAGTGGAACTGACCATTGTGGGATTTGTTCAGTAGGAGCAAACAGGGAGAAAACATACAAAAATGGAAGTGGTGCGATGCAACATTAACTTTTCCAATAAAAACAGACATTTTCACACATTTGGATTTCCTTTTAATCAATGTGCTACTTAGACACTTCCGTACCTCAACAGGTGATTGGTGAAATATAATTTCACTTTGTAATATAGTGCCGCTGCTGGCACGGGGGGCCAGTATGAAAAATGTATGCATTCACTAATTGGAAGTCGCTCTGGGTAAGAGCGTCTGCTAAATGACTAAACTGTAAGGTGATACAAGCTCATTCCAACCAAGGGGACATTTCTCAGTGTTTTAAAATGGTGACTACTGTGTACTGACTAAAAAGGCACTAATATTTACAGTGGTGTTATATGGCTGCATTTTCGTCAATGAGCCATATTAAACAAATACTGAGTGCAACAGTTGTACTACAGAGTAATTGTAACTTAAACCTTAGTGATCGTTTAACAGACGCTGTAAGCACAGCAGAATGATACTGTAAGCTTAGCATTTCCAACCATAACATAGTTTGACATGAGGACCATAAGTAACATTTTGCTCATAGTAGCTTCTTGCTTCAGTCATCAAGTAAGTGCAGTACAAAGTTTAATACAACTCAGTGTAAACACATGAAGCCCATCGCACTAGCAGTCAGTCTACCTTCAGTTAACACGGATAACGGACAACTCCCATGTAAGTTAAAAATAGTTTTGGTGTTAATTTTAAATGTGACAAATTGAAGTTGGGCAAAATACACTGCTCAAAAAAATAAAGGGAACACTTAAACAACACATCCTAGATCTGAATGAATAAAATAATCTTATTAAATACTTTTTTCTTTACATAGTTGAATGTGCTGACAACAAAATCACACAAAAATTATCAATGGAAATCAAATTTATCAATCCATGGAGGTCTGGATTTGGAGTCACCCTCAAAATTAAAGTGGAAAACCACACTACAGGCTGATCCAACTTTGATGTAATGTCCTTAAAACAAGTCAAAATGAGGCTCAGTAGTGTGTGTGGCCTCCACGTGCCTGTATGACCTCCCTACATCGCCTGGGCATGCTCCTGATGAGGTGGCGGATGGTCTCCTGAGGGATCTCCTCCCAGACCTGGACTAAAGCATCCGCCAACTCCTGGACAGTCTGTGGTGCAACGTGGCGTTGGTGGATGGAGCGAGACATGATGTCCCAGATGTGCTCAATTGGATTCAGGTCTGGGGAACGGGCGGGCCAGTCCATAGCATCAATGCCTTCCTCTTGCAGGAACTGCTGACACACTCCAGCTACATAAGGTCTAGCATTGTCTTGCATTAGGAGGAACCCAGGGCCAACCGCACCAGCATATGGTCTCACAAGGGGTCTGAGGATCTCATCTCGGTACCTAATGGCAGTCAGGCTACCTCTGGCGAGCACATGGAGGGCTGTGCGGCCCCCCAAAGAAATGCCACCCCACACCATGACTGACCCACCGCCAAACCGGTCATGCTGGAGGATGTTGCAGGCAGCAGAACGTTCTCCACAGCGTCTCCAGACTCTGTCACGTTTGTCACATGTGCTCAGTGTGAACCTGCTTTCATCTGTGAAGAGCACAGGGCGCCAGTGGCGAATTTGCCAATCTTGGTGTTCTCTGGCAAATGCCAAACGTCCTGCACGGTGTTGGGCTGTAAGCACAACCCCCACCTGTGGACGTCGGGCCCTCATACCACCCTCATGGAGTCTGTTTCTGTCCGTTTGAGCAGACACATGCACATTTGTGGCCTGCTGGAGGTCATTTTGCAGGGCTCTGGCAGTGCTCCCCTGCTCCTCCTTGCACAAAGGCGGAGGTAGCTGTCCTGCTGCTGGGTTGTTGCCCTCCTTCGGCCTCCTCCACGTCTCCTGATGTACTGGCCTGTCTCCTGGTAGCGCCTCCATGCTCTGGACACTACGCTGACAGACACAGCAAACCTTCTTGCCACAGCTCGCATTGATGTGCCATCCTGGATGAGCTGCACTACCTGAGCCACTTGTGTGTGTTGTAGACTCCGTCTCATGCTACCACTAGAGTGAAAGCACCGCCAGCATTCAAAAGTGACCAAAACATCAGCCAGGAAGCATAGGAACTGAGAAGTGGTCTGTGGTCACCACCTGCAGAACCACTTCTTTATTGGGGGTGTCTTGCTAATTGCCTATAATTTCCACCTGTTGTCTATTCCATTTGCACAACAGCATGTGAAATGTATTGTCAATCAGTGTTGCTTCCTAAGTGGACAGTTTGATTTCACAGAAGTGTGATTGACTTGGAGTTACATTGTGTTGTTTAAGTGTTCCCTTTATTTTTTTGAGCAGTGTATTATTCAAATATACAATCAATGTGCACAGGTTGAAACAACTGATAGTATATCAGTGACAGACAAATATCCCATTCTCAGAAACGGACAAACATCCTTTATACACTTCAATGGATAATGTAATGGTCCTGAAAGCACCAATGTTTTTAAGTCCATACAAATTAGCTGAGACAATACAGTAAACAATGAAAGCTATTTACCCTCCAGAAACACTGGCACACCTCTGAAACAGCAGGAAGTATATGACTGAGTGATGGAGACAGACAGGTCTGCCATGTAACTGACTGGGAGTAGGTACTGCTAGCCCATTTGAATCAACGGTCTCTCGGTTGGCAGTATCCCAGTCATCTGTTTGTCTCAGTGTACAATGAACTTCTAGTTCAGTTACATAAAAGCAATAAAAAACAATCCAAACATTCTGAAATCCATCTATTCCCCTCCAAGCCCACAGAAAGTGATTTGCCTTGTATTTTGAAAATACCAAACTGTTCTAGCTAGAAGAAGGCTCTGTGTTCATGTTCTATGGCTATATGAGAGTATGATATGACCATGGATATGGGAAATAACAGAATTAGATTATCCTGCAGCATTCTGCTACTGCTGTTCAAAAGTTAAACACATTACTGGTGAAGGCTATGTTTACAATGACTCAAGGACTCGTCTTTGATGTGGCTAAGATGTGTTGTATACAGTTGTCTAGTGTGTCCACCCAGGTACCAAACCAGGTCTCGGGCAAGGTTGCTCATCATGTAACCTCACGGTGCCAGACATCAAACAGTTTTCTCATCTGAGAATCAGGTTTGTTCCAGAGAAACCTAAAACCGCAAAGTCGAGGCTACTCATAAGGCGACCGAACCACTCTAGTTCCATTAGGGCTCCTCTTAGAGCACGGCCACGCCCCCATCACAGCGGCTGGTGATCATGTTGCCGATCTCCGTCCAGGTTGGGGTCGTAGATCTCAACAGAGTCCACCGTCTGAGGTCACTATCTACATAAAACTATGATGAGGTATTGTGACAACGTGTTGCTTTTCAAACAAAGCTGTATTTATATACAGTGGGGAGAACAAGTATTGGATACACTGCCGATTTTGCAGGTTTTCCTACTTACAAAGCATGTAGAGGTCTGTAATTTTTATCATAAGTACACTTCAACTGTGAGAGACGAAATCTAAAACAAAAATCCAGAAAATCACATTGTATGATTTTTAAGTAATTAATTTGCATTTTATTGCATGACATAAGTATTTGATACACCATACCAACCAGTAAAATTCGTTCACAGACCTGTTAGTTCTTAAGAGCCCTCCTGTTTCCATCATTACCTGTTTAACTGCACCTGTTGAACTCGTTACTGTATAAAGACACCTGTCCACACACTCATCAAACAGACTCAACCTCTCCACAATGGCAGACCAAGAGCTGTGTAAGGACATCAGGGATAAAATGTAGACTGCACAAGGCTGGGATGGGCTACAGAAATAGGCAAGCAGCTGGTGAGAAGGCAACAACTGTTTGCCGCAATTATTAGAAAAGGAAAAGTGTTCAAGATGCGGTCATCACACTCAGTCTGGGGCTCCATCAGATTCACCTCGTGGGGCATCAATGTGAGAGGGGCGTCACCCGCAAAGCAGGACCTGGTAAATGACCTGAAGAGAGCTGGGACCACAGTCTCAAAGAAAAACCATTAGTAACACACTACGCCGTCATGGATTAAAATCCTGCAGCGCACGCAAGGTCCCCCTGCTCAAGCCAGCGCATGTCCAGGCCCGTCTGAAGTTTGCCAATGACCATCTGGATGATCCAGAGGAGGAATGGTAGAACGTCATGTGGTCTGATGAGACAAAAATATAGCTTTTTGGTCTAAACTCCACTTACCGTGTTTGGAATGAAGAAGAAGGATGAGTACAACCTCAAGAACACCATCCCAACCGTGAACCATGGAGGTGGAAACATCATTCTTTGGGGATGCTTTTCTGCAAAGGGGACAGGATGACTGCACCGTATTGAGGGGAGGATGGATGGGGCCATGTATCGCGAGATCTTGGCCAACAACCTCCTTCCCTCAGTAAGAGCATTGAAGATGGGTCGTGGCTGGGTCTTTCAGCATGACAATGATCCCAAACACACCGCCCGGGCAACGAAGGAGTGGCTTCGTGAGAAGCATTTCAAGGTCCTGGAGTGGCCTAGCCAGTCTCCAGATCTCAACCCCTTAGAAAATCTTTGGAGGGAGTTGAAAGTCCATGTTGCCCAGCGACAGCCCCAAAACATCACTGCTCTAGAGGAGATCTGCATAGAGGAATGGGCCAAAATACCAGCAACAGTGTGTGAAAACCTTGTGAAGACTTACAGAAAATGTTTGACCTGTGTCTTTGCCAACAAAGGGTATATAACAAAGTATTGAGAAACTTTTGTTATTGACCAAATACTTATTTTCCACCATAATTTGCAAATAAATTCATAAAAAATCCTACAATGTGATATTCTGGATTTTTTTCTTTCATTTTGTCTGTCATAGTTGACGTGTACCTATGATGAAAATTACAGGCCTCTCTCATCTTTTTAAGTGGGAGAACTTGCACAATTGGTGGCTGACTAAATACTTTTCCCCCCCACTGTAGATGAAGCCTAGACAGAGGGGAGAGGGGAATGAGGCCATTCAGAGAAATTATGTAATTGAGATAATAAACAATTGAGACAGCAGAATCAATTATATTTATATGGTATATTTAGTTAGAAATGTCTTGTTATGCATTGTCTGCCTGTCACTTTTATGCCCAGAATAATTGGGATAAAAGAAAGTTAATTGAATTGAGTTACCCTGTACTCGCAGCAGCCAAAGTAGTATCGAGGCACTGGCCATGCTTCCAATGATCTCCCACTTATTCCTCGGTCGGTGTCCGAACCCCGCTCCATCGTCTTTCCCAATCTCTGATCCAACCCAACCCACCTGGCAGAAACACAGGAAGTGAGGAGACATCATGGTGACCTATTCAATACAGTCCTTATATCCGCATAAACTTTTATCCAAAAACCCTGGGGAACCCCAATAAAAAGAAAATTTTTGGAGGGAGTGAAGTCGTTTTGCCCCGACGCCCAAAACCTAAGGACTGGAAAAGGGTCGTATGGAGGAGTGGGCCAACCCTGCTGCATTTTGTGAAAACCCCTGGTAAGCCCTACGGGAAAAACGTTATCCTGTAATTGCAAAAAAAGGGTTTTCTGTAACAAATATTAAGTTTGCTTTCTGATGTATAAAATACTTATGTGAGCAAAAAAATGCAAATTAAATTACTAAAAATTACAATGTGATTTTCGGGATTTAGATTCCGTCTTCACATTTGAAGTGTCCCATGATCAAAATTTAAGACCTCACAGTTTTGAAAGTAGGAAAACCCAAAAATGGCGGGTATAAAACTGTTCTCCCCACTGTAGTCTGAATTGGGAGGACTGTAAAGATGCCCGAGTCCCAACCCTCTGAGTTTTGACCTGACTAGCAGTATTTAACTCTACCCTAACTCCCTCTCCTCCTCGGGCGAGTACTTTTCCACCGTCTCCAGGGACCCCAGCGCCTCGTTCCAGCCCCCTACGGCATTTTGCAGTTGTTGAGGCAGGCTACGCCCATGTAGGCCCGTCAGGTCACCATGACGGGCAGGGCGCTCCAGCGCCGGGAGATGGGGTCGTACACCTCCGCTGAGCACAGCTCCATCCCCTCATCACTGATCCCCCCGATCACATACAGTGGGGGAAAAAAGTATTTAGTCAGCCACCAACTGTGCAAGTTCTCCCACTTAAAAAGATGAGAGAGGCCAGTAATTTTCATCATAGGTACACGTCAACTATGACAGACAAATTGAGATTTTTTTTCTCCAGAAAATCACATTGTAGGATTTTTTATGAATTTATTTGCAAATTATGGTGGAAAATAAGTATTTGGTCACCTACAAACAAGCAAGATTTCTGGCTCTCACAGACCTGTAACTTCTTCTTTAAGATGCTCCTCTGTCCTCCACTCGTTACCTGTATTAATGGCACCTGTTTGAACTTGTTATCAGTATAAAAGACACCTGTCCACAACCTCAAACAGTCATACTCCAAACTCCACTATGGCCAAGACCAAAGAGCTGTCAAAGGACACCAGAAACAAAATTGTAGACCTGCACCAGGCTGGGAAGACTGAATCTGCAATAGGTAAGCAGCTTGGTTTGAAGAAATCAACTGTGGGAGCAATTATTAGGAAATGGAAAGACATACAAGACCACTGATAATCTCCCTCGATCTGAAGCTCCACGCAAGATCTCACCCCGTGGGGTCAAAATGATCACAAGAACGGTGAGCAAAAATCCCAGAACCACACGGGGGGACCTAGTGAATGACCTGCAGAGAGCTGGGACCAAAGTAACAAAGCCTACCATCAGTAACATACTACGCCACCAGGGACTCAAATCCTGCAGTGCCAGACGTGTCCCCCTGCTTAAGCCAGTACATGTCCAGGCCCGTCTGAAGATTGCTAGAGTGCATTTGGATGATCCAGAAGAGGATTGGGAGAATGTCATATGGTCAGATGAAACCAAAATAGAACTTCTTGGTAAAAACTCAACTCGTCATGTTTGGAGGACAAAGAATGCCGAGTTGCATCCAAAGAACACCATACCTACTGTGAAGCATGGGGGTGGATACATCATGCTTTGGGGCTGTTTTTCTGCAAAGGGACCAGGACGACTGATCCGTGTAAAGGAAAGAATGAATGGGGCCATGTATCGTGAGATTTTGAGTGAAAACCTCCTTCCATCAGCATGGGCATTGAAGATGAAACGTGGCTGGGTCTTTCAGCATGACAATGATCCCAAACACACCGCCCGGGCAACGAAGGAGTGGCTTCGTAAGAAGCATTTCAAGGTCCTGGAGGGGCCTAGCCAGTCTCCAGATCTCAACCCCATAGAAAATCTTTGGAGGGAGTTGAAAGTCTGTGTTGCCCAGCGACAGCCCCAAAACATCACTGCTCTAGAGGAGATACCAGCAACAGTGTGTGAAAACCTTGTGAAGACTTACAGAAAACGTTTGACCTGTGTCATTGCCAACAAAGGGTATATAACAAAGTATTGAGAAACTTTTGTTATTGACCAAATACTTATTTTCCACCATAATTTGCAAATAAATTCATAAAAAATCCTACAATGTGATTTTCTGGATTTTTTCTCTCTCATTTTGTCTGTCATAGTTGACGTGTACCTATGATGAAAATTACAGGCCTCTCTCATCTTTTTAAGTGGGAGAACTTGCACAATTGGTGGCTGACTAAATACTGTTTTCCCCCACTGTAGATGAAGCCTAGACAGAGGGGAGAGGGGAATGAGGCCATTCAGAGAAATTATGTAATTGAGATAATAAACATTGAGACAGCAGAAGCAATTATATTGATATGGTATATTTAGTTAGAAATGTCTTGTTGTGCATTGTCTGCCTGTCACTTTTATGCCCAGAAATAATTGGGATAAAGAAAGTTAATTGAATTGAGTTACCCTGTAACTCGCAGCAGCCAAAGTAGTATCGAGGCACTGCCATGCTTCCAATGATCTCCCACTTATTCTCGGTCGGGTCGTACCGCTCCATCGTCTTCCCAATCTCTGATCCAACCCAACCACCTGCAGAAACACAGTAGTGAGGAGACATCATGGTGACCTATTCATACAGTATCTTATCCCATATACTTTTTTTTTTTTTTTATCCCAAAAGAAAGACTTGGACACTGTTCAAATACTTGGAACACTCATTTGTTCCTCCCCTTCTCAAAAAAAAAGAACAATCTGACATGACTGGATTGGTGAAAGCTATGTAGTGGAAACCTTGCTTTCACCTGTCCAATCATGTTGGATGCGTGTTTACTTCAAGGGGAGAAATTTGGGTGTGAGGAATTACCCAGTGCGTAGAACACCCCGTGACTGGGGCAGACCCCGACCCCACAGCGAGGGAAGTTGAGAGAGGCCACAGCCGCCCACTGCTTAGTCACCGGGTCGTATCTCTCTGTGCAGTCAAATATCATGGAGTCCTTCTCCCCTGGGAAATGACAAGAAACAGAATAGTAGAAATTGAACTGTATAGCCCTGAGGAAAACACATAGATTGAGACACATGGCATGTTCTCTGTACAAACAGAACCACAGACAGGACTCGTTAATGAGGACTATCCTGGTTAAATAACTAAAATTAGACTGTCTCACCTTCCCAAGACATAGATCATGCCCTCCAGCACAGCCACTCCCAGTCCGCTGCAGGCCTGGTGCAGGGAGGACACTGTGGTCCAGTACTGGCTGAACGAGTCAAAGCGCTCCACGCAGCTTAGGGCCCGGCTGTCACTCCAACGGCCGCCCTGCAGCCGAGTGTAGCCTCCTGAAACAGGAGAAACCAACCGTAACACAACATAGCCTGGATCACGTCACGAAATTGAACAATTTAATTTGGATCCAGCTAGTACTGCTGAGTTTACAATGAAGATGCTTCAACAGAAATGACTGCCCTAATACTGTTGTCATCATATAAATGCTTTCAGGTGCTGAACTGAGGTTTACTTACCTATGGCACAGAGGTATTTCCTGGCCTTTCTCCTGGGCCTCATCTTGGCTGGCTGTAACAGGCTGTACATCTTATTCTCCTTGGGAGACTTGCTGACCTCCTCAGCAGTGTCTGCAGCGCCACCCGCAGGCTAAAGTCAGAAATGCCTACACAGAGAAATGATATGATGTAATTGATAAGCAGCGCAACAATGTAAATCAATTATAATGGTGTAAGAATTAAAAGAGGATTTCTTGATAAATAAGTAAAAATAAGATAGAGCCTGCTTGACAAATCAGGAGTATCATTCCATCTCATCACCTTCTATGTACTTGAAGAGTCTCTGTAGGGAGAGCAGGGGGAACCTGACTGGGTCCAGCACCTCCACCACGTTTCTTCCTCTTGGCCACGTCCTGAAGGACCCAGTCCATGGCCGCCGTGAATACCTGGTACTCACCTTCGATCCGCAACTCCTCGCTCCGCAGCAGCTTCACCAGCTGGTCCTTGGACAGGACCCAGAACTCATCCGACACACACACCTAAAGGTCAGATGTTCCGATTGTGATTTTGTTTGTTGGTGTAAGTGTTATAACAGGTTGGTAACAGGTTATTCACTTTTTGTTACACACACTCAGCAGATTGGAATGAGATGGAAGGGGAAAGAGGTGAAGGGGGAAGAGAGAATCTGAAGATGGACAGAGATGGAGGAAGAAAAAGACTGTGTGTAGCACCTCCATAAAGTGTACATGGATGTAGTTCTCAGTGAACTCCAGCATGTCCATGCAGGCGATCTGCTCCAGGAACTGGTATACCACCACACAGTTGGACTCCATGTGGCCTTTGAGGAACTCCCCACAGATAGACACCACCTCACTCAGCTGCAGCATGTCTGCTGCCACCATCAGCTCCTGCACGTTCTCCACCGTCACATTAATCATGCCTGGACAGATTCAGTTTAAAGAAACACAAAGAAATCTGTATCATATCCTGTTCTTTGTATGAACACTACTGTACACTACACACTCAGTAAATGGTACATTTCATGACAGGACTCCACCCCCAGGATCTGGACCTCCTCCTTGTCTGCCTCGCTCATCCACCCAGAGAACAGAGCAGAAAAGTACGGGCTGCTGGCAGCCAGGACCAGTTTGTGGACACTGAACACCCGGCCTCCCAGCCACAGCCTGACGTCACAGAAGTCTGCCCGTAGACGCATCTTATTCATTTGGGCCAGGATGAGCCGGGCATAGAGGTCCGACGCAAACAGAGCCTGCTCAGGGAAATGGGTCTTCACGCCAGCTGCAGATATGTCACCGCCACCGCAGACACTGCTCCCAGGGATGGAGGTGGAGGAAGGTGGGGAGCGGGGTGGAAACATTACTGAGGACATGGTGGCTCTGTCACGGGGACAGAGACAGGGGTGGTGTCACAGACAATGTACACACATACTACTGCTTCATGGTGCAGGACTCTCCAAGCAGACACATCATCTGACTCTAGGGAGAAGAGCACAAGAAACATGAAAGATTATACAATCTCAAACATCACATAACATATACATATTGTAACATGCTGGTATATGTTAACAAATACCATCATAATGATACAAGTGCCAAATTTATATTTTATCCTGCTGTTCTGCCTGTTGTTTTCAGGAGACTGAAAATATTTGGCATGGGTCCTCAGATCCTCAAAAAGTTATACAGCTGCACCACCGCGAGAATCCTGACTGGTTGCATCACTGCCTGGAACGGCAACTGCTCGGCCTCCGACCGCAAGGCACTACAGAGGGTAGTGCGTACGGCCCAGTACATCACTGGGGCCAAGCTTCCTGCCATCCAGGACCTCTATACCAGGCGGTGTCAGAGGAAGGCCCTAAAAATTGTCAAAGACTCCAGCCACCCTAGTCATAGACTGTTCTCTCTGCTACTGCACGGCAAGCGGTACCGGAGCGCCAAATCTAGGTCCAAAAGGCTTCTTAACAGCTTCTACCCCCAAGCCATAAGACTCCTGAACAGCTAATCAAATGGCTACCCGGACTATTTGCATTGTCTGTCCCCCCACCCACCCCCTCTTTTACACTGCTGCCACTCTCTGTTTATTATCTATGCATAGTCACTTTAACTCTACCTACATGTACATATTACCTCAATTACCTCGACTGACCTGTTTCACCCGCACATTGACTCTGTACTGGTACCCCCTGTATATAGCCTCGCTACTGTTATTTTACTGCTGCTCTTTAATGATTTCTTATTTATTTTTATATTTTTACTTATCTATTTTTTACTTAACACTTATTTTTCTTAAAACTGCATTGCTGGTTAAGGGCTTGTAAGTAAGCATTTCAATGTAATGTCTACTACATCTGTTGTATTCGGCGCATGTCACAAATACAATTTGATTTGATTTTGTTTTAAACTGTGTTTTGGAATTCTTATCTCCATTGAGTTAAAGTGCTGCATATAACTGTGCATGTTATCAGTTAACAAAATATCATCACCACCATCTGATCTGGTTGAAACTGTAAACCGGTTCATGACAACATCTTTCCTATAAAGCAAACATACCAATTAAGCGCGCCTACTAGGTAATGTGAGAGATGGGGTCAGACCATTTTATTATTTGAATGGAAAATCATGACAATCGAAGATGCTCAAATTGAATCTTATCTTCACAAAGAAAATATAATACACCAACCTGCACAGTTGCTTGCTAGTCCTCATCAATTTCTTTAGTTAGCTAGCTAGTTACTTGCTGCAGGCAACTTCCGCATACAGACTGTCAATCTACTTTTCTGGATCGACGGTCTTGAGTTTAATGACTAGGCCTAACTAAGCAAATACCAAACGTCTAATCATGTCAAGACCACTAGATGGCAGCATTGCCTTTAGCGTGGAAGTGAAACATTTCAATCAGCAGCAATAAGGGCCTGGGCCAAAGACGCTGTAACCAAAAGCCTGCATTGCTGCCTGCTTGCCTACCAAAATGCAGGTCACAACCATAGTTAAAACCACACGATTATCCTCATGATAATCCTGCATGTAGTAGCACTTGGTCATAAGAGAAGTAAGAAATGCCTAGTTTGCAATATCCCTCCCTATCTTTGCTGCAGTCTGTTTGTAATTGCCCAAGACTGAAAGTGCTGTTGATTGTTAAATGACAGGGCACAGAGTGAGTGTTTTTAATTGAGCTGAGCAGGTCATGGCCTCTTCATGCACATAGGGTTTCATTCAGACTTAAAATCAAATCAAAGTTTATTTGTCGCTTACACAGATTAGCAGATGTTAAAGCAAGTGCAGTGAAATGCTTGTGTTTTTATCTCAAGCAGTGCAGTAAATGTCTAACAATACAATACTAATACACAAATAAACCCTCCCAAGGAAGAAGAAGAAGAAGAAGATACAAGAAATTAAGAAATATCAAAACAAGCAATTTCAGAGTCTGGAATATAAATATGTGGTGTGTATAGACAGTATGGACAATATAGAAGTAGGAAAAAGGTATGTACAGCAGTAGTTATATAGGATGAGCTATGTCGAGAGTACAGTATGTACAGTGCATTCGGAAATAATTCAGACCCCTTGACTTTTTCCACATTTTGTTACTTTACAACCTTAATCTAAAATCGATTAAATAAATAAAAATCCTCAGCAATCTACACACAATACCCCATAATGACATGTTTGCAAATGTATTAAAAGTTTAAAGCAGAAATACCTTATTTACATAATTATTCCAACCCTTTGCTATGAGACTCGAAATTGAGCTCAGGTGCATCCTGTTTCCATTGGTCATCCTTGAGATGTTTCTACAACTTGATTGGAGTCCACCTGTGGTAAATTCAATTGATTGGACATGATTTGGAAAGGCACACACCTGTCTATATAAGGTCCCACATTTGACAGTGCACGTCAGAGCAAAAACCAAGCCATGAGGTTGAAGGAATTGTCCGTAGAGCGCCGAGACAGGATTTTGTTGTGGCACAGATCTGGGGAAGGGTAACAAGACATAATATTCACTATAAGAAAAAAACAATTGGCTGAGCAACACTTTCTACTGGAGAGTTGATCTATCTACAGCTATCCCTTCGGTCTCTCATCAAGGGTTTTAAACAAATCATCCAACAGCTATTGTTTAAATTCAGCACAGGATTAATTAAAATACAATACATATAGGCCTAGGGTTTCAAACTTTGGTTGATTTAAAGTTAATAATAAATATTTTGGATTCACTTCTCCATCTCAACCAAAAATAAAAGAATATGATTAAATCAAATCAAACTGTATTTAAAGTGCATTTAAAGTTTGATTTGATTTAGTCCTACTCTTTAACTTAGATGTTTGGTTGAAATGGAGATTTGAATCCAACATATCAATTATTAATTTGTAGACAAACTGGAATTAAAGCCAGACTCAGTAGCACAGATGGATTTATCCTTCAAAAGTTTATATTTGGTTGCGTTGACAACCAAACACAATTCAATATCACTTTTGTAATACAGTCAACAAGTTAACAAATTCATATTTTGGATTCAAGTCTCCATCTCAACCAAAAATAAAAGTGAAAGAATAGGATTAAGCCAGTGACTCAGATGGAACTATCCAAGCAGTAGATACATCTCCTTTAAATGTTGATATTTGGTTAGGTTGTCATCCAAACACAATTCAATATTACTTTTGTAAGACAGTAAATAGCCTAATGTTAATGCTATCTTAATGTAACAGTATTTAATCAACCTTAAAATGAGTGACACATCTAGTATTTAGTATTTATTAGGATCCCCATTAGCTCTTCCTGGGGTCCAAACAGGGTTAAAACAGGTAACATCACAACAAAACACAACAACAGCCTACATCATAAATAACAATATACATCAGACAATACATTATTCCATTATTCCTCTAATATTACAAATGTACAATATAAAATCCACAATACCACAACATTACAATGTGTGTGTGTGTGTAGAGTGTATGGGTTAGAGTGTGTGTGTATGCATGTGTTTGTTTGTGTGTGTGTGTCTCTAGTCTTCACAGTCTGCGGTGTGCCGTGCCATGTTGTTTATTCAGGGTTTTTTTTCTTCTTATTTACTGCTCGCTTGAGTTACTTGATGTGGTAAAGAGTTCCATGTAGTCATAGCTCTATGTAGTATTGGTGCATTTCCCAGAGTCCGTTCTGGACTTGGAGACTTTGAAGAGACCCCTGATAGCATGTCTTGTGGGGTATGTATGGGTGTCTGAGCTGTGTGTTAGCTTTTTGAACAGACAGTTCGGTGCTTTCAACACGTCAATACTTCACACAAAGACAAGTAGTGATGTAGTCAATTTCTCCTCTACTTTGAGCCAGGAGAGATTGACATGCATTTTATTGATATTAGCCCCCCATGTACATTTAAGGGCCAGCCGTGGCCACATTTTGAGGTTACTGTAACAATAAATGTATTCTTCTGTAATCATAGAAAGTGTTCATGTTCAGGGTCGCAGGTCAGTGAAATCTTCATAATTGCTATAATAATCTGCACAGAATCTCAAATGGCATTGATCACTTGCACCATGTACTTTAATGTAATCTCAACTAACTGCAATCCAGGTCAGTTGGCTGTGCTATTTGATCAATCAAGCAGAGTGATAACATATTAAATTGGTGTATAAATAAACGAAATATCTGACATTGTATTCCCATTTGAACTTTGGTGTGCTTTTAAATGGTTGAAAGCGCAGAGATAACACATTTAGTTGACAACTAAACCAAAAATCTGACATTGATTTTCCATTGGAATTTGGTTGTGCTTTAACTCCCGTTGTCCTAGGGTCAAAATGACCCGCCACTGTGTTGAACCAACTTTATTTAATTTTTATATTTTTTGGATCATTTGTGAGAAGGAGGCAGTGATACTTTCTTTAAAGTCTCATGATCCCAAAAATATAAAAATTAAATAAAGTTGGTTCAACACAGTGGCGGGTCATTTTGACCCTAGGACTACGGGAGGGTTAAGAAAGCATAGTGACTGACAACACATTAGGAATTCGACAAACTTTTGGCTGTCTTTTTGAGTAAGTGAAAATAGGTTGGAATCTCATTGATCAACCTATCTACCAAATATTACCCAATTATCCACGTTGAAATGACATGGTGTGCCCAGTGGGATGTGATCGAATCCCAATGTAACCAATGTTTGAAATTATTTCAATGTTCAATCTGTTTGGGCTTCTTGCGGTCAATTTGCAGTATGAAAATTATTTACAATAATGTTCCCACCCCCCGACCATCCACTCAAGAAAACATCAGCCCGTGGCTGAATGTAGTTGGGTTTTAAGGATTATGAGGGGGCCGGGGCCACTTGGGGTTCCGCAGGTTAAATCAGAGGTCAGACAAGGTGCTTGTGGA